TCATATGTGCATAGTCATAGCCTGAACCTGTGTATGCACATCCACAAAGGGGAGCATACAGGATTTTGCATTGGGGAGGACAGCCCCGAGCTACTGCAAAGTTTTAAAGGATGACATTGAGTGTGCTAATGAGTGTATCTCAACCCAAAATGAAACTAGCCAGAAAAACTAGCTTCTGCATCCAGTCATTTTTAAGTTGATTACTACTGGCAAGTGCTGCATGTTGATTACAGCCCGAGGCTAACACGGCCTGTGCTGGCCTGTTTCATTTTCCTTGGAAAAACAGACATCATTGGCATGTTCAAGACTGTCCTTACTTTACAGGGAGGTCCATGATGCCGTAAGAACCCATGCTAATAAAAAATAACAAATTTTCGCAAACTGTTGATGTGCTGCAGAAATACAACTTTTGGCAATGGCATGCTTTCAATGTACTTATGGTGATGTATCTGGGTCAATTTTGTTGCCAACACTTATTTGCACCCATCTTAACAACACACCATAAGGTGTGGTCACATGAAACCACAGTGTCCTGTTGAAAACTACCTCTTGTTGTCTGCCCTAGCCTATGAAATACTTTTGCTCAGGTGTGTATCAAGATTTTGTATCACATGTCTTGTCATATCATGCCAAGACATCACACCTTTTAACAGCTATTGCTGCTCTATAGAGTACATACCTCCTTCTCATGTCTAATCCCATCTGATCACACCAGGCCCTGTTTTACAGCAGCCCAGATAAATTTGGTTGGATGTTTCACGGCCTATTATGCCAGATCTTTTGTCTCACATGCATATAAGATGGGGGCAGTTTACTGAATACAGGTTCCCGGTATGCCTGCGTATTTCACATGATGTACAAAGGTACTGGGACTAGGTACTTACAAAATGTGGAGCAAGTCCTCCTGGATTTCAATTTGAGCATTACTGAGTATATGTCAGGCATCACACTTTTCCATTAAGAAGTTGAACTAATTACTTGATGCACACTTACACCCTGCCTCAAACCATCCATTCACTTTCACATGCCCATGTGTTCTGCATTATAGCTTTGAGAAAGTAAGTGTGAACATCTTAAAATGGCTGAAGAAATAACAAGGCCCTAATGACATGCAAAATAGTCTGAATACCTATTCCAAATTAATATAATAGCTTCAAAAATAATAGCTATAATGCCATTACAGATCAAATATTTTTTTGGATATAATCCTTGTCCAGTGAACCCACCAGTTTATATCTGGACATGATTTCAAACAGCCACCAGTCTGTTGTCCCAGGTTATGGAGGCCCAAGAACAACCGGATAATGTTTGGTTTTTGATCATGCACGCATCATGGCCAAAATTATCCCCTTGGAACTGCTGGGATTCAAGCCACAGTCTCCAGACTAGATTGTGGCATTTCTCTGGCAACTGGGAAAACAAGGAAGGGTAAACTCTTATATAACACCTAATGATGACCAAAAGTAAATGGCTGAAGCACTGTGTATGCCTGACTGCCAAGGTGCACAAGACAAGACAGTTCCTGATATGACATGGCTCGGAGGTGACAAGGGGACGCCAATAGAAGCTAAGAAAGCCTGGAGGTAGGACTCCTCTCCACCATCACATGGGTTGTCAATTACCCTGTTTACATGGGCAGCTGTGATTCGAATTAAGCCGGGACCCGTCCTCGATCCGGACTATCCGGCCCATGTATACACTCACGCGCCGTTCCGCTGATTCGAATCGTGCGCCGGAGGAAATCCCTTCCCGTGAGAGGATCATCCGTTCAGGAAGGGATTTCGTCCGAATTATCGGCCGTCAGCTGTCTAAACAAAAAAAAAAGAAAAATGCCTGGCGCACGCAGTTCTGTTCACAGCCATTTCAGCTTTGTGCGGTGTTACCGCTTTTCCACGGGTTTTTAGCTATTGCTCGAGACGGTTCAAGTCCAAGATGGTAAGGGAAAAGAGAAGGAAGGTGAAGTTGACATCATGCTGCTAAAACTACTCTTATTATTGAGGGCCTTGAGTGGCTAGCAGCACAGAAATGCTCACGTAATTTAGCCTTGCTAGGCGCTTGATCTATGCAGACAGCAGGCGTCGACGGTGTTTGGTGCTATCTTTCCGCCTAAAGGTTAGATTAGCTTACATCTGGGGCAGGCTCCATGCGTCCAAAAGCCAGATGGAGGTAATATGGTTATTTTATATAGCTTTGACTTGTTCTCATTTTAATTTTTGGATTGCTCAAAATTCTTGCAGAGAATGCCTCCAAGTTTCGTTCATTAAGTTAATACCTTAAGTCCCCAGGGGTGTTTTTGCAGATGTTCCGTAAATTAGGATGCTGGTTGCTTGTCAGTTTAATTTGTGTGAGAAAGGTAGCTTAAAAATTGCTGCATGATATGACGGATGAACAAGTATAGATCATTGCAGTCAGCTCGGAATGTGAACTTTTTTATGGTAGGACCGAAATTGCCCAATGATGGGGTCAAAACAGCAAGAAAGCAAATGTGAACACTGGATGAAAATAGTTGTCATCATTACTCTGCTAAATCCAAGTTTGTGTGTTCCATGTGCAGGAAAACAGTGCATAAACTAACACCTAACACGATGGCACATGCTGCATGGAGAACATGTCTGTGTTGCATATCATCACCTGTTTTTGTGCTGGTGATTAAATATGTCACCTTGGTGCTTTTTTGTGATGGGTGTCTTTGCAGGCCACTAGGTAGGTAATTCAACTGTTCAACAATTCTTGCAGGGAGTACCAATAGTTTCTTTCATTAGGTGAATGCATAAATGCCCCAGGATTGATTTTGCAGACATTCCTCCTGTGACTTGAACATTTGGTTGACCACCTATTGGCGGGAGGGATGTGCTGGATATTGGTGACTGGCTTGTCAAGGAAATATGAAGTTACGTCACACTGGTAGACCAACTGGCAAGGAAGCGGGGGCTGGAATATTTGTTTTTGATGCAATTAGGCTGTTTGTTGCTTGTTGGTTTAATCTGTGTGAGATAGGTAACTCAATAATTCCTGCATGATGCAAAGGATCAACAAATATAGGCAATAGATCATTGCAGTCAGTGCAGAATGTGAACTATTTTTAATGATGGGACCAAAATTGCCCAGTGATGGTTCCAAAATGTCAAGAAAGCAAATGTGAGCACTGGATGAAAATAGCTGTCATCAGTACTCTGTCAAATCCAGGTTTGTGCATTTCATGTGGGAGAAAACAGTGCATAAACTAAGTAAACCCAACATAATGCCACATGATAAGCAGAGAACATCTGTGGTGCACATCATTACCTGTTTTTGTACTGGTGAGTAAATATGTTACCTTGGTGCTTTTTTGTGACATGTATCTTTGCAAACCATGAGCTGGATAATTGAGCTGTTGCTGTAATTAATCATTTGTTATGAATTTTGAGCCCAGATTGCTTTTGCCATGACAGCTCTGGGGCTGGTTCACATGTTATGATCTTTGGACTGTGCGAACACAGCTGTTTGTGCCACCTAGCCATCAGTCCATATCAGCCAATGCTGTTGACTGCAAGGATATCAAAGCAGTTTTTCAACCCTATTATGTCAAGAAAGCAATAGCTGCATTCTGACTTGCCAGTCCATGCCAAGTCTAAATGGCAATGCTGCCCTCAGGTACTGATGATGCATTGGATGGGGAAAGACAACATAGTTACACAATTTTTGCCACTAACTATGTAGCATTCATGAGTCATTTCTGTAGCTTAGCTCACTGTTGCAGGCTGCTCATAAATGCATTAGTGTGGGAGTAGGTAATGTGTTTCTTGGGCTGCGCAAAGTAGATGACATGATGCTGGGTGGCATACTGATATGAGTGTGGTAAGTTTGTGAGTGTCATTGGCCAATACAAGAAAATACCGATTTCCTGCTAGCCAAAGTTTCCCGCTGGTAAAAAATTGCATATAACACTGCTTATGTGACAGATTTGGCAGTGCTGACTGCGCAACTCTTGTGTTTCAAGTGTTATGGCTTGTGCTGTAGCTATAAAGCCTATGAGTCCCGCACATATCATTTTTCCAACGGAGTCCATCTTCCTCCTCGCCCTCAAAGCTGTCTCGCGCGCCCACCATGGCTCGTGACATTCGCCATCCATACGCAGAGTACCTGCTTTTTTCTTCTTGTTTTGTTCAGTTCGCCTCAAAAGCGCAGTTTTCGCCCATAATCCGTTCCTTGATTCGAACTAAGCGGGATCGAACTATCGACCGTTAATCCGACGTAAAGCCGGTTTCGCCCATGTAAACGCCCCTCGCCGAGAGGGTTAACGTCGCATGATCCGTTCCGATCTTAATTCGAATTATCCTCGGCTGCCCATGTAAACCGGGTAAATGATTGAAACCTTCCTCCACCATCAACCTCCATTGAACAGCTAAGTCTAGGCTTGATATGCACTGGGCTGACATGTCATATAACATTCCACACTGAATCTATCCAAAATTTAAGACTGGTTACCAGACCACCAGCCTGACGAGACCGCTTAGTGGACTTTTATAATTCTGATCGCCATTAGGTAGGGAAGGGTAAGGTACACAGCATGGGACCAGCAGTGCAGAATAACCTCATGGAGGCAAAAATTGCAGTGCATGCACACTGAGTCTGAGCAATCAAATGCACCCTGACCACCACCTCAATGCACAGGAATCTAAGGTTTCAGGGACAGCAATCACAGACAAAAAGTTAAGACCACATTTTTCACACACAAATGAGTCAAAATTTAGCATTATTTACCCCGAAAAAGTTCACCACACATAATCATAAAATTCATCAAACCAAAGTTATGCAGGCATCTGGCACAGTGGAGAAGTTTGCAGAAAGGCTTACAGTTTACTTACGACACTAAGGATGATAGTCTTAACACAAAACCCAGACAAATGGCACTTCTCATGGAAAACTTCACAACTAAATGGATGAGGCGCATGTGCAAAAACTGTTCACATTTTGTTATATTTTACCTCCACATCACTACCTGACATGCCGCTATTTACCTTGACTTCCAATGAATGCCGGACAGGCGACACCCGCGAAGATGCTTCGAAGACGGGCAGCTTCTTGCCGCTTTTACAACAGTATCACAGTAATTACCGCGTCAAAGCTGACCTCTTAACTCACGGCCTCAGCTTCTCATGACCAAACCGTTTTTAAAGCCATCGCCGAAGCGTTTTTCGCACTTCTCACCGCACACACTCAAAACGAAGGCCTTTGCCCAGAACCTGGCTTCGAAAAGCTTGCTTTTCTGCTGTTCATTGGTCGGGGATTTCCGACCATCAACCCTCCCCCACACTACCACACCTACCGCTTGGACCTGTACCCCACACCACTTAATTACGCACCTACTGTCCGCGCCCACCCGCGAGCGTCGCACCCACCCAACCACATAAACTGTGAGACTCAAAACAGTGGTACAGCGAGTGATTGGCTTCCTACAGATCAAGCAGAGCATGAGAGGCTACGGTTTCCAGTAGAGTATTTAATGACGTCATTTAATTTAAAAGCCGGCAGGCTGTTGGACAGCTGGCTTCGGTAGAAGTATCCACTAGAAACATTGGACGGTTTCCGTGGATTTTTTTCTCGCTGAACCAGCTAAATTTTTGGCCTCGCCCTGTCTATGACGTCAATAAAATCTGCTAATCTGAAGCGTGAGCGCGCTCGATAGAAAGGAAGGATAAGACAGAAAGGATACAAACATAAATATCCTGTACATCTATGGACACGACCCTCTGAAATATGTTGCCATCGTAGATATATAATCCAAGGGGATCAGCGGTAATGGCTCAATACCGATCTCCTTCCGGCGCACCGTAACCCGCAACGCAGTTTGGACGGTAGATAATTCTGGCAATGGAGGCGGAGATATGATGCAGATAACTCGCGTCGGAGAATTGACTAAAAGAATGAGCATCACCCAGGCGCGCACATAGGATCTTCGTAACGGAGGGGACATGAACACAACCGGCGGCGGATCCAGGATTTCGTCGAAGGGGGTGGGGGTTACGCAACATTGTGGGCCCGGTGGAGTTTGGGGCGGGCCTCTTCCAAAAACTATCCTTGCATTTCGGCCATAACATTTTGAGACAAGTCGTTTGTAATATACATGTATATATACATATATATATATATATATATATATATATATATATATATATATATACGTAGATGTGCATGTATGCACTTACTTATTCTTTTATTTTATAAATACAGAAACCCACCTTACTGTGCACGGCCTTATAAAGCTAGGCGTGCTACGCATGCATACACATATAACTCACTCACTTTCTACAAATCATGTAAATGCTGTGATTTTGAGGTTAAGTGTTTCGGAACAACAGTCAAAATAAACTTGAGTTAGCTGCTAACAACTACCAAAACTAAGCATGGACTTGATTCCTAGCTCATGCTTTTACGGCTAGCCGGCTGGGCGATGTAATCAGAGGACGGCTGATGACAAGTGCATATGTTTTCCTCTGTTATAAAGGAATACGACATACCCTAACACTCGAAATATGTTAAGAACGAGGTGCACTAGTATAACAAGTGTCACACACTCAATAGCTAATGGCAGTGACACATGTGACGTCTGCGACATGTAAAATTACGTCCGGCAATTGCGAGTAAAAATTCGTCGGCGCAGATTCGGCCGCTGCTCTGAGGCGAAGGCACCAAGGCCAATAGGGACAAAACCTGAGCAAGAATGGGTCCCGCAGGAGGCCACTTAAGTGGCTCTTGTCAACAAGCATAGGGTCCTCAGGGCAAGCAAAAAGAAACCAAGACCATCGTGTTGGGCCCATGAATGGCCGGTAGTGTCTCGGCAGGCTGACATATAAAGCCCCGGCCAGAGCACAGAACCCTCTGAGTGAAGGTGAATTATCTAACACCATGAATTAATACCCCTGTGTAATCAAGAGTGCGCAGGCGGGTTAACAGCACGAGCTTCGGTAGGAGTGAATAGTCCTCCGCAAATGAGACCAAAGGGAGGGAGCTCTCGATCAAAGTAGATGGCCCCTGGGTATTGAGTGCCTCCGTGCCTTACCTTATAAGGGCCCTATCAACAGTATAAGGCCCTCCAAGCAAGTAGGAAGAGCCCGAGACTTAAATGAAGGGCCCCTGAGCAACTGAGTGTGCCCTGGTATATGGGCCATAAAAAAGCATAAAGAACCCTTTCGGGCGAGTGGGGAGAATCCGTGGAGCAAACCTGATCGATCAAGATTACTTGGACATGGAAGCAGATAGCGTCCTAATAGCACATTGGGCCCTACGAGAAAATGCAAAGAGATCAAGAGCAGCGTGGAAAGCTCCTCACCGATCAGACTGACCCTGCAAGTGGACATATAGAGCCAAAAAACCAACAGTGCTATGGCTTTAGAAAGCGTAACAAACTCCACAATTTCTCATAAGCAACACTTCCTCAATCAACAAAAAATGAATTTGATCTGCTAATGAACTCGTTATTTTTGCCACAACTGTTCTTGGTCGTCTGTTGGTCAAAACTCCTCCAATTTTGCTGTGTATTTGTTGTAAGAAAACTACGTCCGTCCGGCCTTCAGATCCCCTCGGCATGGTCCATGGGGTATGGTCCTGTGCCTCCGTCCCCCCCCCCCCCCCCCCCCCGTCTGCATCTGCTACCGGCCGAACAGCTTAATAGATGGGGCCCGCCAAGAACATAGGGCCATTCTTCCAAAAAAGAAATACTCACGACACAATGTGTAGGGCTCTGAACGATTGAGTGCGCCCAAGCAGGTTGACATATAGGGTCCCTGTCAAGAACATAGGGCCCTCCATTTAAATAGAAAGTACCCAAGACCCAATAGAGAGGGCCCCCGAATAATCGAGTGTGCCGAGCAGGTTAACAGATACGGTTCCAAAAAACAGCGTAGGACACTCCGTTCAAAAAGGAAATATTCAAGACCCAATGCAGTTTATCCCCGAATGATCCATGATCCAGTGCGTCAGAGCAAGTTAACATATAGAGCCCCGGTCAAGATTTTAGGGCCTTCCATTCTAATAGGAAGTACCCAAAAGCCAATGAAGAGCGTCCCCCAATGAATGTGTGCCCGAGCAGGTTAGCAAATAGGGCTCCCAACAAGAGCGTAGGGCCCTCCATTCGAATGGAAAGCATCGAAGACCTTATGCGAATGGCTCCAGAATGATATAATGTGCCCGAGCAGCTTATCAGAAGGGGCCTCTTTAGGAGCGCAAGGCTCTCCATTCAAATAAGAAGTACCCAAAACCCCGGGTGCGGAGGGCCCCCGAAGATGGAGTGTACCCGTACAGGTTATCAGATAGCCCGGATAGGGGCAGAGGGCCCTAAATTCAAACACCAAGATCCAATGTGCAGGGCCCCTCCCCCCAGAAATCCAATGTGGCCGAGGAGGCAAACAGGGGGACGCCGACGAGTACGTGGGGTCCCATCCAAAGAGCACGTGCCCAAAGCCTCAATGTAGAAGGCCCCCGAACGATTGAATGTGCCCGAGCGGGTCATCAGATAGCCCCCCCCCCCCCCCCCCCTAAAGCGCAGGCCCCTATTGAGGAAAGAAACATCCAAAACCCAGTGCGAAGCGTCCCTGAATGACTGGTGTGCCCAGGCAGACCATCAGATGGGCCCCCGACAAGAGTGCAGGGCCCTAAGCAAGTGATAGACAATTGGGAGCGCCCTAGACCAATGAAGAGGACCCATGGGGATATCAGAAGTGTGTCGGGTAGGTTAATTGAGACCCACTTAAAGGGTCCCTGAGCAACCAAGAATACCCCGGCAGGCCTAGATATGGGACCCCGACTATAGCCCCGCAGAGCCTTTCTGGCGAAATGGAAAGAACACGTGGAAGAGTCCATTATCGACAAGAGTGCCCCGGCACGCTAGCGGGAAGGGCCCCAACAACAGTGTAGGGCCCCAGAGCAAATGCAAAGAAATAAAGGGCAACGTAGAATGCTCCTTAACTATCGAAATGATCCTGCAAGTGGGCATATAGGTCTCCCAGAAACAGTATGGGTCCCTAGACAGTGAAATGGGGCTTAAAATTTCCAGTCACAACTTTTCCAACCATCGATTTTTTAAACTTCTCATAGGCCTTTCACTTTCGCCTTCAACTGCTCTTGGTGGTCTGGAAGTTCAGAAATATCCAGTTTTGTTGCGATTTGTGTTAAAAAATTGCATCTGTTCGGCCGGCGATGGACCCCTCGGAGCCAATGGAGCCCTTCGGATCCAAGGGAGGGGTGCATGGCCCCGCTGCCCCCCCCCCCCCCCCCCTCTGGATCCGCCCCTGATCATAACGCCTCCACCAACATAGGCCTTGTTGTAGATCACTGAGATTCAAAAGCTTCATAGACCAGCACCCGTCTCGGGTCTAACAGGATCTGAATAACAACAGGTCGTCCTTGAAAGTCACACAATGGTATTCCCAAAACTGAAAATGAGACTCACTTTATACGGTATATTTACCGACTAGTGGGCGGGTTCCCGGGCATAGCTCCGAGTGGCAACCGGACCAGATCCTTTCCTGACGGCTTCCCCTATGTTTTTTTGGTGGCATATTCTGTCCTATTCATACCCGATGACCTAGCTCAGGATCCAGCTCTTCTAGAGCCACCCTTCTCCCCCCCCCCCACAAACACACTGGGTGTGTCGTACTAACTTTGACTCATAGAGATGATCCCCATGCACGAACGTATTTTATCAGGATGGGAAGGGAAGGGGACTGACCAATAAAATACCATAATCTACCCAAAAGTGCGCCAAAAAATGGGATTATTTCCAGATGTCGACAGTTTTTTTGTTTCTCTTGGGCTGGAGCTAATTCTCCCAAGCAAAAGTAAACTACACTACTGTCCACAGCATTTCTTCGCTGTCATATCTAACGGAATGTTTCCACAAATGATTTAGCTGCCGTGTCCGTAAGTTTTTACGAATAGTGCGCCGATTTCGCACATAAGAACAGTTTGATTTGCCCCAGTGCGCGGTGTTTACGGTTGATGGCCACGAGGTGGAGAGTGCTGGGGAAGGTTGCAGAGTGTAAGTTGTTAAAGCGGAATAGATTAACTTTGTCGACGGTTTTGCGGGTTGAATGTGTGCCTCTGATTCTGTTCTGAATCACCACAGTTTTGACGGGATACTGGTGTCGACAAGCGGACTAGTGAAGTGGTTTCATATCGTTTTGCTACAGTGACGTCTCGGATGAAGAGTGCTGCCAAAATACTGTGTCCCATTGTGGAATGATTTCCGTGTGAGCGATATAACTATAAGTGTCAGGGTTTCATCTTTCCATGTACTTTCATAATTAATTTTCACATAAATCGTTGCAGCATATTATGCAATGGTATATAATCATAATACAGTATGATCAACTTCATTGAAAATGCCATAATTTGATATAATTTCACCATTGCAGTTATGTATTGTACACTTTGGCAATGCTTCTGAAAGGAAGATATTGAATTACCATAACATTTTCTCATGTATTTACTATAATCATTGAACAAAGTGTTAAATTGTTGTAGATCAGATGAAATACAACTAAAAAAAACATATGAAGATAATATAAATAAACAGCATATAATATGGAAACACATTAATGATAACTAATACATCAAGAGTGGGTGGTGATAGGAGATGTGCTGATTGGCTGTTGGCTAACAAAGTGACAAAAATGATCTTAATAGATCATAGATAAATTTGAGTACAATTTAAGTTGCTGTTTATATCTAGAAAAGCCTTCAGAAGGTGGCATACCATTTAAAGGGGTTTCTAGGGTGAGTCTGGTCCTGGTCTTGTGGGGCAGCCATTTGCCCTGCTGGGATAGGAGCTGCTATTTTGATGACTGGGGGTCTCAAAAGACTGTGCACAATGTAATGTCCACCTGCTAATTATCCCTGCTGCCATGCTGAGAGGGGGCCATTATTACGCTGAATTCACCACCTGGTGTTTTGCATTACATTCCAACATGATCAAATTTATGGCATTGAAAAGTGCATTCAACATTTTGCAAGGAAAGAGCTAAATTGTGTGGTTTCAGGGTTGCCATGCTCACACAGTTTTATCTGGCATGCTATCATTTGCAGGCAGCTTAGCAACTTGGGGCAAGCATAGAAGCTGGTACTATAAAATGCTATGTGCTTGCATAATATTTGTTGTTTGAGTGTCTCAATTTCATCAGTTGATCTTTCTGTAAGGGTGCTGCACAATCCATGACATCCAGGGCCTCACAAGAGAACATGGCAGCAATGAAAACAGTGGTGGCACACTTGGGGTGGATATAGCCCATTCATTTTTAAGGATCTCATGCCTCTACAGGCTGTCATTCCATCATATTTTGTGTACCATCTGATCTGCACTCCAGCTCAATACCTGTCTCAAGGTACCTTGTGATAGGCCAAAATAATGTGGCCTACCCCAAGTTTGAAATTCCTGGCACATAATTTTTAAAACTTGCTCCAACTAACAATTCTTGCCTCAACTATGTGCCAACAAGATCTTGTCAAAATCTGTCATGTCTTGCATGCTGGTGTCTTAGTATTTCTGGCATGCTATCAGCTGAAAGTGTCCACCAGCCTTGCTGAACACCTCTAAAATGTACTCATGTATTAAAGTTTGTGTTAGTAACCTTTATGTTAGAAAGCTTTTCTGTTGTTTTTGATGCTATGGGGGTTGGGCAGTTGTCTTGGGGCATGCATGCCCATCAGCCACCTACATTGTCCTGTTTGAGGGATCCTCATTTTTGATATTCAAGTTTCTGTTTCATTTGTGCCTTTATTGACCACCAACATTGTCCTGTGTAAGTGCATACTCGTGCTTGATGTTTTAATTTATGTTTCAAAATAGTTAATATTGATGTTGCTTGAGAGATGTTTACTTGATTGTATGTATGCCTCAACATGCACACACAAGCTGAGGCCAGATCAAAGTGGTGGTGTCGCAGGCTTTTGTATGATATATAAAATTGGCTGGAGCGAGAACTGGGCACTGGATCTCTGTTGTTTTTGCAGTTTAAATCTTCAAAATAAGTATAAAGTAAAATGTTCTTGTTCCATCTGAGATGGTGCAGTGTGCAGTGGGCTGCCAAATGTTCACACAACATAACACAGGGATGCAACATTGGTCACATAGTCGATGATGTTTGCTTTTAGGTCACAGCCGCTGCCATGCCGGCCAGTCCCGCCGTGGGCTTGTCGTTCTCGCTGCGGCCGATGATGTCGGCCGGCGGTGGCCCTCCGGAAGCCTTGGAGTCGGCCGGCCGCACCCTGGACCGCCTGCTGCAGGCCGACTCGCAGTTCCCCAGCCTGGCCGAGCGGCTGCGGATCGCACAGCAGGCCTGCCCTACCGTGAGCGGTCAGCAGGAGGCGGACTATCCCAGCCTGGGCGGCCTCCGCCTCAAGCAGCTGGCCGTCCAGAAGAAGGTGCCGCTGCCGGCCGAGCTGGTGGAGCACTTCAACCACCTGCAGTGCAACTGCATGATGGGCCTGTTCCCCGAGCTGAACCGCGCCTGGCTCACTATCGATAACGACATATACGTGTGGCTGTTCGAGTCGGGCGGCGACCTCACCTACTACGACGGCATGAGCGAGACCATCCTCAGCGTGGCGATGGTGCGACCGAGGCCTGGCGTCTTTCAGTCTCACATCCAGCACCTGCTCTGCCTGGCCACGCCGCTGGAGATCGTGCTGCTGGGCGTGACGCTGGGCCGGCCGCGCGACCCCGCCGGCCCGGCCGAGATGCACGTACTGCCCGAGCCGCTGTTCGCCATCGCCAGCGACGGCGCCTACGTGACGACGATCGTTGGCACGCCGGCCGGCCGCGTCTTCCTGGGCGCCAAAGACGGCTGCCTGTACGAGCTGGTGTACCAGGCCACCGACAGCTGGTTCTCGCGTCGCTGCCGCAAGATCAATCACTCGTCGAGCGCGCTGTCCGTGCTGGTGCCCACTTTCCTGGCGGCCGCCTTTTCGGATGAGGACCCCCTGATTCAGCTGGTCGTCGACGAGTCGCGCAATGTGCTCTACACGCGCTCCGAGAAGAGCACGGTGCAGGTGTACGACCTGGGCGCCGACGGCCAGCAGACGGTGCGCGTGGCGGCGCTGTCGCAGTTCTCCATCGCGCAGGCGGCGGCCGGCATCGCCTCGTCGGTGGACGCGTCCAACTTCCGGCCCATCATCGACGTGTCGCCGGTGACGGCGGCCGAGTCGCGGCTCGTGCACCTGGTGGTGACCACGCAGACGGGCGTGCGGCTGTACTTCAGCACGGGCGGCGCCGGCTCGCGGCCCGTGACCCTGCAGCTGTGCCACAATCCGCCTGCCGCCGGGCTTCGCGGCCAATGCGCCGCCGCAGCGGCCGGCTGGCCTGCATATGGCGCGGTACGCGGCCGGCGCCGGCCTGCTGCTGGCAGCCCAGTCCGACGACCTGGACGTGCTCTGGCTGCTGAGTGGCGACGCCTTCCCGGTGTCGCCGCGACTGACGGAGCTGCAGAGCACGCTGCCGCTCGATGGGCACACGTGGGCGCTGCAGCCGCTGCCCGAGCGACAGCTGATGCGGTCCGAGGCCGGCGACGGGCCGCAGCCGCCGCTGGTGGTGACGCAGCACGCGCGCCTGCCGCGCCGCTACGTGGCGCTCTCGTCGCGCGGCGTGCAGGTGCTAGAGCAGCTGCGGCCGGTGGACCAGCTGCGCGTGCTGCTGGAGGAGGACGCCGGCCGGCCGGACGCCGACGCGGTGCGCGCCTTCTTCGTGCTACACTCCGAGCCGCAGGCGTGCGCGGCGTGCCTGATTCTGGCGTGTTCGGACGCGCCGCAGGACGCCCGGGTGGCCGACTGGGCGGCGCGCGCCTTCTTCCGGTTCGGCGGCGAGCCGCGGGCGGCGCCGGCGCCGGCCGTCTCGCCGGCTTCGCTGCACTCGACCAGCCTGCTCGGCGGCTTCCACCCGCAGCAGATGTCTACGCCGCAGCCGGGCCGCGGGCCGCCGTCGCAGCTGCCGCAGCTGTCGCTCTCGGCAGACGCCTCGCTGGCCGCGCCCGTCGAACTCTTCTCCGGCAAGCACGACGGACTGTACCTGTACGTGTCGCGACTGCTGCGACCGCTGTGGGCCAGCCGCGTAGTGCGCGAGTTCTCGCCGCGGCCCGGCCAGCTGCACCTGCTGTCGGCGGCCACCTCTGAGGAGCTGGACTGGCTGTGCGGACAGCTGCAACGACTCTCCCGCTTCATGGAGCAGCACAAGCTCATCTTTTCGCCGCCGTACGTGGACACGGTCAGCACGCAGCAGCTGCAGCAGCGGATGAACTCGTTCCTGCCGCAGGAGGGCAGCGGCGGCGGCGGCGCCGCGCGGCCTCAGCTGGGCCGCGGCCAGCAAGCGCAGGCGGCCGAGCGTCAGAGTCTGATCTGCCTCGCTGAGCTGGTCGACTACACCAGACAGGTGAGGGACAGCGGGGCAGAGGCGCCGACCCGTGCTCCCGCCCGGCCAGCGGTAGCCCGGAACCGCGCATCGAATGACCTGCGTTTTGGACCTGCAGTTCCGTTTTGCGGGAAACGGGTATCCAGTCTCAACGTGTGTGAAATGCGCCCTGGTATTGTAGCCCCATGACGAGACTTTCAAATACCGTACCGCCCATTCGGAGTCAGCACATCATAAGCACCGAGACGTTGTGGTGCTATATTGCTTTTTCGGTGTCAGCGCATGATAAACAATGAAGGGCTTGTCTGACGGAGCCAGCCTAAGGTGCACATCTCAAATTTTCACAAACGTCATGCATTGAGGCGGTGCAGAGCTACCCATATATGGACGGCTGCCGGCTCCAAGATGGGTCTCAAAGCAGGAGTTCGTTAAACGAACAGCGTCTCGCCTCTAGGACGGGCTCAACCATAAAGCGATAGACCAAGCGTGTCGCAGGGGCATAACACAACATTGATCAGCGCAGTGCAACACGAATCACGGGTGCTGCCGCTGTGCGTTTATAGAGCCTCGCCCCGCGGGCTGAAGCTGTCCGCGGTGACGTCATCCCTCCCCCCCCCCCTCCCGGCAGGTGCTGGGCCTGCTGAAGATCATCACCGACCACCAGACGACGGCGGTGACCGAGGCTCTGAGCAAGGAGGACCAGTCGGCGCTGCGGCTGATGACGCTGCGCGACCTCGCGCTGTCGGGCCGCGCCATGTGCACGCAGCTGGTGAACGCGCTCATCGGCCGCTACCTCAACGACAACGCCAGCACGGAGGCGGTGTCGGCGGAGCTGCGCAGGCTGGCGCCCGCCGTCTACCGCGAGGAGGACGAGCTGAGCTCGCGCGCCTCCGAGATGCTCGTCTCGGCGCGCGACGCCTCCTCCGCGGCCGAGCGGGAGCGCCTGGTGCGCGAGGCGCTCAGGCTGGCCAAGCAGGTGGCCGGCCAGCTCAACCTGCCCGTCGTCTGCCAGCACTTCCAGGTGGGGGAGCGCTGCGGCGCGGTCGCTGCGGCGGTTTGTATCGCGGCTGCGGCGCTGCTTTAGGGGCCAGAATACCGCACTGCTGGCGCGGCACGCGGACTGGGAAGCTTGGGTCGTGAAAAAACGGCGGTTCTCTTGGCTGGTGAAGTCATGTATTTTCTTGCAACATGTAGGTCGTGTAACAATGTGGCAGTCATCACAGACCAGAAGAATGCATTACCCAAATTGGATTGTTACATTATTTGGCGTCCGTTTGTTGCGTTGCCAGCAAACTGTTCCTTACAAAACAATTAGTTTAGGTGCGTCTCGCCTCGTATATCCGTTATGTGGCCAGCATTCCTTGTCTAGAATATGCTCAACAATGGAGTGAGGTACTCAGCCGAAACATGCTTGAAATGTCGTACTTACGCCATCCGCACATCAAGTACTTAGCCGAAACATGCTTAAAATGTCGTACCTACGCCATTCGCACATCAAGTACTTAGCCGAAACATGCTTAGAATATCGTGCTTAAGCCATTCGCACGTCAAAATATTTGAGTGCCTTGTTATGCTGCTTTACTAACAACCTGGCTAGCCTGCGGGCCCTGATCTTTTCCCTTCACGACATGCTCCAATAGCAGGACCACGGGGCACGGGTCTCCGTCTGACTAGCGCCGCAGGGGGCGTGCCTGAGGGGTGTCGTCCGTTGCAGTCGGTGCACGACTACGAGGGCGTGGTGGAGCTGGTGCTGGCGGCCGCCGAGAAGCGTGATGTGCAGGACGCGGCGCTACACTACTACCGCGCGGGAGAGCCACCTGATGACGTTCAGGGCGGGCAGGCCTTCAAAGCCAGGTACGAACCCGCTGGCCCCGGCGGGGGCCGGTTCGGGACGGCTGGGAGCCAGCGCCGCATCGCGATCGTTTGGAACGCGGATCAAATGAAACGGTTGATTTCGCAGGCAAGTCAGCGTTATATGAGCAGTTTTGAAGGAGCGGAGACGCGGACTCAGGCTCAAGCCCGGGTGAGTGTGAATCAGGTTAAAAATCGAGTCTTCTGGAAACCTTGGGGTCCTTCTCATGGTCATGATTTGTATGGTTGCCCTGCATGTGGCGGTCTGGAGTTCAGTCGGAGGTCGTCAAAGGACCCGAATTCGTACGATAAGTTAACATTAACACAATAATCATCAACGCAGCGGATTTTAACGAAACCTTGAATTGATGCAGCACTGCCGGGCGCACTGAATCACGCCAAATGAATGGCTTGGAATAAAGTCACCAGTCCTCCAATGTGGAACGGTTCCGTAAGGCACTTGCAGCCACTCTCATTACTCTGATGACCTTTCAGTTACTTCGCCAAGTTACATGTAACATGTTGAGTTTACTCCCTTGGAACATTTTTGTTATATACTCACAGTATAATTTACTTTGGATGAAAATATGTGTTGTCGCCCTCGGCTTATGCTGTGTGCGGAGAATTGATACCGATTGTGGCGCCCTCGTTATGATGATGGCTGTTAGAATTACTTAATGATGGTTATGTTGAAAATAAGTGCTATAATGATGTGCCGATCTGAGTATTTGAATTCTATCTGGGAACGAAATACGAAGGACCCACAACACGACGAACGTGGCACAATCCACCCGCAATACCGTGCACACGATTCACGTGGTATATGATGGACAAACTATGTTTAGAAATAAAGCAATGAGCCCTGAGATTGCATAGCTGAGATTGCATAATGAGATTGCATAATGGGTGGTTTTGGGATGGTTTTAATAGATGATGTCTTACCAATAGAGTGTTTTCCGATGAATTTGGTGTCTTTCCGACCGTCTCCTGGAACTCATAAAATGCCTAAGGTAACCAAAAGTGGTCCTCTTCGTGGAAAGTAACCCTTATAAACACGCAGGGATCCTCGTCCCACCCCCGCTGCGGCAAACTCCACATCAACGGGCGCGAAAAGAATATATCTGACTAAGGGTATCTCACTGAAACACAGCGGAGTTCGGCATTAGGAGCTTTTAGAGCCTTTTTGCGGGTGTGCAGCTGCTGCCCCGGCAGTGAGGAGGGGCATTAGAGCCCCGTGGTTGTTTCTGATGCCCCCCCCCCCCTCCCTCCCCATGTCAAAGTGCCTCACCTACCATCTAACCTCTCCACAAAAATATTGTATATGCACCCGTTGGTCTGTGAGTTAGTGACTGGTATTTCTTAGCGTTCAACCACTGCAAAGAGGAAACTGCGGAAGGTATGAACCGTAAACGCTTGAACTGGGAGACTTGAAAGGATGACGGGGTGTTCGCCGTTATTGATTGGCGTTGTGACCAAGTTTCGTTCAAATCCGAGGTATAAGGGCGTCACCTATCGACTCGTCCTGAGACGTGACACTTTTCTGTCGCGACAGAGAAGACACCACTAATAAAGGAATCCATAATTGAGATGTGTTGATGAAATAATGAGACTATATGAACACTGGCGCTGTACCGATAATCAAGCATGCGTCAGCATTGTGCTGACACTTGCTGATACCTGCTTGATTGTGCTTCCGATACTGATTGTGCTTGTACCGATAATCAAGCAGGCGTCAGCATTGTGCTGGCACGCGCTGATGCCTGCTTGATTGTGTTTCCACGCTGATTCCCAGAAATCTTGGCTCAACTGCGCTGCAGCGGTATCTGTCTTTGTGAAAAACGGACGTCATCATTGTTCCCAGGAAGCATGCATTTGAAATTGTGCACTGCATTACAAAACAGCAGCAGGGCTTAAACAAGGTCATGCATGAAACATTGACATAACCGTAGCCTGTTGAGGCCTGTCGATGCAGTGGAGGCTCCTCTATACAGTGGAATCCCATTATGAATTCTAGCCTGCCGGCCTTCAGAAAGTTCGTGCCACAGCCCCCGAGTTCATGTGTTGTGGAGTGGACGGGCATATACATGCTGCGAAACGGATGAACTCAGACTCGAACTCAATGCCTCAGAACTCGGCATGATGGTCCTGGTACTTGGAATGGCATACGCCCCTGGGATTCAGGCGCACGTGCAGCCAAATCGGTGTGTTTGGCCTCAAGCAATGCAGAACATCTGGTCGTGACGAGGGCTCACAACGCCAAGGCGAACATTCGGGGTCGGGGTTCATGCTCGGGGCCCGTGCCCTGTGTCGTGATGTCACGGTAGGAACGGGGCGGCAGGACGGTGTTAAACGACGTGGTGCTGGCCGTGCTGTTCCGGCTGACATGTTGCCCGTGTTCGCGGCAGGTTCGAGTGCTACAACGAGGTGATGAAGATGCTGTCGTCTCTGAAGGCGCTGGCGGAGTCTGGCCAGCGCCAGTCGCCGGTGCCGGCGCGGCCGGGCCCGCCGCCGCTGGCCGCGCCGGCCGACCAGCCGCAGGAGGCGCGGCGCCGGGCCGAGCTCGTGATCGAGGCGGTGCTCGCCTCGTCCGACGAGCTGCTGCACGTGGCCCTGTACAACTGGATGATGACCAGTGGCATGTCCGACCGGCTGCTGCAGGTCCGTCTGGCCGGCGCACTGGCCGCCGTCGGCCGCGTCCGCTCGGAGAACTCCCTCACTCCACCAAAACCGGGCTGCTCGCGTTACAACTGGCTGAAACTATGTTCTGTCGGCTCATGGGTGTTCTCTTTTGTTAAAATGGGACTAAACTAGGGTAGTGTGGTCATGGTGGTGGCGTCGCACTGTGCAGGGCTTGGTGTGTAACTCAAATGCCATCCTAGCAAAATGTATACTCAGACTTGTGTTCAACGAAAGTAACCCATTTGACAACGGGTTCGGAACGAGTGCGTCCGCCAACAACGCACTGCGTGCTGGCACTGGTGTTCAAACCACGATACCTCGGGGGCGGCGACGACACGGGCGACACGCTGTTTTCACGCTGTCATTAGTAGCAGCGTACGTTATTTCGGACGCTGCGGGTTATCGGTGGACAGGCGCGTGAGACGGTGCCGTGCCGCCGATACCGTCTGAAGGGCGGGTGGCGGCTCGGTCGGGGCTTTCTCTGACGCCCCCCCCCCCCCTCCCACTCCTCCAGGTGAAGTCGCGCTACATCGAGCCCTTCCTGACGCGCGTCTCGGGCGCCCCTACCAGTGTGGACACCCTGGACCTGCTCTGGAAATACTACGAGATGAACAGCCAGCACCTGGCCACCGCCAAGGTCCTGGCCAAGCTAGCCGAGCGTGACGGGTGAGTCGAGCGTGGCGCCGCCTCGCGCGCCGCTCCTCGACGCCCCGGCGCGGAGCGACCTGCTTCGCGGGCGTAGCGCCAAGCTGTTGTTGGATGCTTGGTGTGGGGGCTAGGACTCTTCAAAAGCTATGTTTGTGACGTGATATGGCATGTGACCTGTCATGTGTTGTTGACGTGACGTGGCGTGGCAGGACCCCCTCCCCCTTCCGACCAGTGATGCAATGGGATGTGGATAAAGCTGCAGGCGCGTCATGCTCCTCCCCCCTCTCCACCTCCCCCCCCCCCCCCAACCGGCGCATTCACCTGTTTCGAGACCGTCGTCCGCTGTGACGAGGGACGCCATGACGGGCGTGATGATGAACGTCATGATGGACATGGTCGGGCACAGGTCGGACGTGAGCCTGGAGCAGCGGATCGAGTACCTGGCCCGGGCGATTCTGTGTGTCAAGTCCAGTCAGATGCAGGTCTCGGCGGCCGCCAGCCAGGGCGAGTTTCTGCACGAGCTCGAAGAGAAGATGGAGGTGGGTGGTGCCGCAGGATGACGATGCTGACGAGATAGCCGCGCTCCCCGTGACTCGCGGTGTCGTACAGCGATGTGTGCTGTGCAGCTCTGTTGCGCCCTTGTGGGGAATATGTGTCGCTTTTGTTTTTGCTCTTGAGAAATGGGACCGTTATCATGATACTTTAACAGTGTGCTTGTGTGTTATCATTGTTGATAGCGTGACCCTCTGTTAGGTTGTGTGATTATATATATATATATATATATATATATATATATATATATATATATATATATATATTTCGCACATGTTTATGAATTTAGGAGGCAGACTTTTCTTTGAACATGATGATGGGCCTGTCACGTCAGTGCTGCTAATGTCAAGCAGCCTACAGTTTGCGTTCGGGCATTTCCATGAATAGGTCACATAAGCATGTTTTAGTTGTTTGCCGTCGGTTTGGCTGTTTGCCGTGATCATGGTGAACACATTAGTATTAAATATTCGAGTTGAAATCGGTCGTTATTGTTGAGCAGAATGGCGTTGGTCTTAAGGATTTCGAGGAGGGCCTGTTCATTGGCTTTATATGCAGTTTATATTTAATTTTCTAGTGTCCTTTGATGATTTTTTCAATTTATTTCTTCCGTGTACTCTGTTCAACTTAAATATGATGTCACGGACTTCGCTCTATGCTCCATTCACACTTTATGCTCGCTACATGTAAAACGATTATTCGTATGTATAACAATTGTAATATTTAGGACAGTGTAGAACTATAAGCTATGATTTACCCAAAGCGATATATATATATATATATATATATATATATATATATACATATTGCAGATGCAAGTCTAGTATGATTTCTATTCATAGTTGTTTTTTTAAGAAATCTGTTGAGGACAGTGGTAGTTTTTTCGGAGTGCATATTTCTGCAATGAATGTTTCGTCACTCATACTTGCATGTTAACCGGCAAGGTAGACTTTGACCACCTCGTAATTAAAAAGGCTATACATTATATCGTATAAATGTTATAATGATGAAGCCATGAAAACTTACACATTTATGTATAGGAAGACCAGGGGTGTCAGCTGTACACGTGCGACTGGTGAGCGGCCGGCGTGTCGCCAGCTCCATGGCTTGTTGTCTGACCGTGCGCCGGCGGCGCAGGTGGCGCGCGTGCAGCGCATGGTGCTGGAGGCGGTGCGCGGCCGCGCGGCCGAGTCGAAGGCGCTGAACGCCGGCCTGCTGGACGTGACGGCGCTGTACGAGATGTGCAGCCAGCTGGGCCTGCACCGCGGCCAGCTGGCGGTGGTGGTGTGCGCCGGCCACCGCGACCCGGCGCTGGTGCGCGCCCTCTGGACCGGCCTGCTACGCGCCGAGCTGAAGGCGGCCGGCGCTGCCGAGGCCGAGGCGGCCGCGCCCGCCGTCGTCGAGCTGGCGCGCACCTACAGCGGCCAGCCGGCCTACTTCCCGCTGGAGACGATCGTGCACGAGCTGGAGGTGCACTCGTGCCGCTACTGGAGGGACCCCTCGCCCGGCTGGGCAGCCGCCGCGCTGGCCCAGGCCGGCGTGCCGCTGCCGCAGCTGCTTGCCGTCTATCAGGTGCGTCGGGCCGCACGCGCGCGCGCACGCACGCACGCACGCACGCACGCACGCACGCACGCACGCACGCACAGTCGAACGCTGTGTGGTCAGTGGGCGCAAGATGACCTTAGTAGCCTGCACGCCCTAAAACTCCAATCAGTATCACGATCATAAGCTGTGTGGTCAGTGGGCGCAAGATGACCTTAGTAGCCTGCACGCCCTAAAACCCCAACCAGTATCACGATCATAAGCTGTGTGGTTGGATTCAATCTGGGTACGCGTCTCAGGTGCGCTGCGGTATCGGCGCTGGCGTGCCGAGCAGTCCCGAGAGGTCGCCAGCCCCCTGTCACGTGTCACGTGTGTGTGTGTGTGGTGTGTGTGCTCCACTGGCGGGGCTGACTGGACCCGGCGTGCCGTGCAGCGCGGCCGCGTGACGGCGTACGTGTCGGTGTGTTGCAGTCGCTGTACCGGCAGAAGGACGACGCGTGGAGGGAGAGTCCCCTGCACCTGCTGCACGCCATCTGCCGGATCGTGGCCGGTTTCAGCCGCTGGCCGAGCGGCGTGCCCGCGCGCGAGAGGTACCGGTCCGGCCCGGGGCGCCGACACACACGCACACACGCACGCACGCACGCACGCACGCACGCACGCACGCACGCACGCACGCACGCACGCACGCACGCACGCGCACACACACACACACACACACACACACACACACACACACACACACACACACACACACACACACACACACACACACACACACACACACACACACACACACACACACACACACACCGGCGCGCCGCCACCGCCGCCGCGCCCGCAGACGAGTCCCGTGGTCTTCATAGAGGTGCAGCTTTTGGGGCCCGCCGGCTTGGCACCCCGTCTCCGCCTGTTTTCGAACGTAGCGTGCGGAAAGCAAGGCTCGGCACAAAGAAGGCTGTGCCCGATTGATACTGAAAGAAATTCCACAAGATTTGCAGGTTGTCTTTTAATTCCAGACTGCCTACAAAGCTCAAGCCATGAAACATTAATTGGATGGCGTTGAATACTTGGTATGTGAGGTCCTAGCCTACATTTTCTTGAAATTTGAGGTGACTTCAATATGCCAAGTTCTATTGATTGCATGATCTATTGTTCACTGAGTGCGCCTACATGTGATTGTTTTCCAAACCAGCATTGCATGCCAACGCACATATAGCAGGGGAGTTGAAAGAGGTAGAAAATTACAGCTGATATGTTAAAAATTTAGGTACCCTCTGCTTACCCTCTGTTCTTACTAACCACTTACTCTAGGTGCCTACTGTTTACTGGAGCTTCTTGGAACAGTTTGCCCTGTTTGCAGCATCACCCGTGCTTTGGTGCAGGGGTGAGGTTACGTTTCACCATTTCGTTGCATAGAGCTGAGATGAAGCAGTTTCAGGTCCTCGCAGCTTTTGGGCCAGTTGACGAACATGTCGACGGTTGTCTGATCGCTCTGACTTTATAGAGGACTTAGTTTACTAAATAGGTGACTAAAATGCAACGATTTTTTGGGTGGTTACCGTCTTGTTTAGGCATTAGGAGTTCATGCTTATGCTGGCGTATCCGCTTCTAATCTTCCAGGAGATACTGTTTAAACGAGATAAGCGCAAGCCCGGCTTTGCAAATCCAGGTGCCGGCAAAGTTACCAGTGTGTGCACAATGTGGTGAGCGGCGCAAGTGGTGTCGTTTGACCAGTGCCTCCTGCGGTATTGGAGGTCTGTAACTCAGCTTACAAACTCGGAGCTGATAATGCCGGAAAAAACGGTAGCAGACGGCATATCTTGGATCAAGCTTTGTTCCAGTCAACTTTTCAAGAAAGTTCAACGTTAATTGTGCCCATCACTGCATGGCTCTAAGTGTTCTGGTGCTGAACGTTTGTTTGCCCTTAATATCACAGGATGCACTGGTTATACGACGTTATCAAGCAAGCATTGTTTATATAGTCAACGCTCAACATTTGAGGCTGCCGGCTCAAAATGACGAGTGAAAAAGATTAAGCAAAAACTTCATTTAAAACCCAAGGGCACTGTCGCCTTCACTCTTCCGCATTTGTGCTGCACAGCGAAATTATACGGTCTTCCCAGATATCATCGAGCCGAATCAAGCATTCATCTTCGTCGCACCATACCCGTATTTCTTAAGGCTTTTTAAGATCAACTGTCGTGGTTTCACTACAGGGCTTATGTTCAGAGCTGTTTTTTCAATGCTCACCGTAAGACTGATCTCAAGAGAGTGAAAAGCGTGTTTCCGTCTCAGCTTCTCCCAGGTAGTGTTGGCGTCGCCATGGATGTGACAAAGAAGGTGATATATAATACATATATATATATATATATATATATATATATATATATATATATATATATGTATATATATATGTGCATATATATATATATATATGTATATATATATATGTGCATATATATATATATATATATATATATATATATATATATATATATGTATATATATATGTGCATATATATATATATGTATATATATATATATGTGCATATATATATATATATATATATATATATATATATATATATATATATGTATATATATATGTGCATATATATATATGTATATATATATATATGTGCATATATATATATATATATATATATATATATATATATATATATGCAATATGAATATAACAAATATAACTACAGCATTCCCGTACAAGAAGGTATAGGTTCGGCAAGGAGTCTTACGGAGGAAAGCTCGGTGGCGGTATGTGAGCGGCTGCTGTCTGTCCCTCCCTCTCCGGCCATGTCTGGGACGCGCACGGTCAAGCCCCTTGTCCAGATGGGCCGGCGGCTTTATCCTGTGGCTTCCCGCGGGCATGACGCCCCCACCTCCGGTGACGAGCGCCACCTGTGCGTCAGTGGACCCCAGGGAGGCGCGACGTCGGGCCGCCTCGTTCTCGTGCTTCTCGGTGGGCCGGTTGCCCCTTCTGACACGTTTCTAGTCACGATGCCGCCCTCTGGTAGGATGGACGGGCGCGGCAGGTTCAGGTTCAGCTCGCTCGTGTACTTCTGTGGTGGCTGTGGCTGCGGCCGTCTTGGGCCATTGGCCGCCGCTGACGGCTGAGGCGTTGGTGGTGTGACGGCCGCGTCCCCCAGAAGCCACAGGTGACCTGCGCCGGGGAGCACCACGCCCGCGTCGTTGTCGAGGCTGAGTGCCGACTGCTCGCGGCCGGCCGCCTCACTCTCGCTGGCTTCTTTGACTGTGGTACCGCCCCTCCCCGCGCTCACTCAACGCCGACTGCAGACCGCCGATCGCCTCACTCGCTGGCTTCTTTGACTGCGGTACCGCCCCTCCCCGCGCTCACTCAACGCCGACTGCAGACCGCCGATCGCCTCACTCGCTGGCTTCTTTGACTGTGGTACCGCCCCTCCCCGCGCTCACTCAACGCCGACTGCGAGCGGCCGACCGCCTCACTCTTGCTGGCGTCCCCGCCTGGGGTACCGCCCCTCCCCGCGCTCACTCAACGCCGACTGCGCGCGGCCGGCCGCCTCACTCTCGCTGGCGTCCCCGCCTGAGGTACCGTCCCTCCCCGTGCTCGCTCAGCGCCGACTGCAGACCGCCGACCACCTCACTCTTGCTGGCGTCCCCGCCTGGGGTACCGTCCCTTCCCGTGCTCGCTCAGCGCCGACTGCAGACCGCCGACCACCTCACTCTTGCTGGCGTCCCCGCCTGGGGTACCGTCCCTCCCCGTGCTCGCTCAGCGCCGACGACTGCGAGCGGCCGGCCGCCTCACTCTCGCTGGCTTGTTTGATTGTGGCACCGTCCCTCCCTGCGCTCGCTCGACGCCGACGAGAACAGGCAAGGCGGCGGTGCTCAGCAGCGATTGACACCAGCCGGACGCTTATCAAGTTCTCGGCGCTTAGTGCGGGCGCGTCGCCAGCTGACGTCATCGCCGGTCAGTCCCGTCGGCGTCGGCCAGCGGCCGGACGCCGTTCTCAGGGGCGTCGCTTGGCGGTGCAGCTCACGCGACGAGGGCTCGGGCGTGGCGGGCTATGAAGGAGGCGTGGCCGAAGCGTGCTCACTCCCTGGCAGGTGCCAGTCGCCCACGCCGACCACTTCGGGAAAACGTGGGCGGCTGAGTGCGCGAGGCGGTGGGCAGGTGACTGGCGGTGTTCTGCGCACGGAGGCCGTGCTCCCGTGCAGCTTGCGACGCGCACAGACGCGGCTCGGCGTGTCGGCAGGACCTTTGCTCGAGTGCTTGTCGTTTTTGCACATTGGGGGAGTGCTTAAGAAGAGGAAGCCCGCCCCCACTATGCTTGCTTGGCCTGGATCTTGTGCGGGATATCGGCAGACGTACATTACGTAAGGACGGTTCCATATTTGCATGTAATGTAATAGTCAGTATTCACTTACCTACCAATATGCTTTCAACATGTCGGTACACGTGCCATGTTTCAACACATAGCACAGTCTGCATGGGGTGCGCTTGGAGAAAATCGGTTCAGCGATTCGATTTGGATTTGTTAGTACCAACTGACTGAAACAGGCCACCAGCGCAGACATCTGAATGCGTTTGGTTGCGTGTCACCGTCATCATCAACTTCTGATTTAAGACACAGTGCAAGTCTTTGGCAAGATGTGCCTGGTTTCATTCTCAGCCGGGGCGCGGATCCATGCAGCCGGACACCGGTCACTGTTTCTGGAACACCCGCACGCACACGACATCGTCCACTTTGAGCGTGACCTTGAGCTGGGAGCTGGTGAACTCGCGCACCGTCTCCGGGTTCTTGTCGGCACCGGTGCGCTTTTCGATCAGCCGGTCGCGCTCCTTGGTGATGACGCTGGTCACGGACGCGCCGCCGGGCGCGCTGAGGTGGCGCGGCACGCCCACGTCAAACTCCATGCTGGTGGAGCTCAGCTTGGTGGTCTGGCGCAGCTTCCAGTGGTCGCCGCTGACCGACACGTGGATGGTCGGCTTGCCCACCTGCGCCGCCGTTCGCATCACCGCGCTGGCGCCCATGGCCTTGAGGAACTCGTCGAAGTTGTCGGACGACACCAGCGTGTAGGAGCCGTTGTAGTCGACCATGGCGCGGCTGCTGTCTTCGTGACGCCGCGGCCGCTGGGTGGTCTGCGCGGTCAGCTGTTGCCGTGTCGCGCGCTACGCCGACTGTCCGTATCTGGGCTATGACCTGCTCGTCGGGTCTGAGCGCGCTCGTTATCGTCGCCGGCCAGAGTCCAAAGATACAGGTCACCACAACGCACCCCGCCCCCCGCCCCTCCCCGCCCCGCTCTGTTGCGCTCTGACCCGCCACACCCTAACGCCCCGTCCTGCCCCGCCCTGTTCCGTCCTCCTGAGGTCTCGTTCCTTTCTTCTCGGGCGAAATCGATGGGGCTGTCCTTGTAACCGGGAAAAGTAGCCGTAAACTGCTGGCGTGCAGGTGCACGTCGCTGTTTACCCTGCGTGGATGTATAGCCGGCCAGCCGATGACGCCGCCCTCTTGGGCCGGGGCCGTCGCCCGGCTGCGCCTCGTGACCGTCGCGCTGTCCGCTGCCGCAGACGCGCCTTCGCCACCACCTGCCTGGACCTGATGGCCGCCTACGTCAACGACCTGAACGCCAGCCCGGCGCTGGACGCCCGCGAGCTGGCCGACCAGCTGAAGACCCACCAGGCTGAGCTGGAGCGCCTGCTGCGCTCGTAGCGCCAGCCGCCGCCGGGCTCGGCACGCCGCGCTCGCCACGCCGCGCTCAGCACGCCGGGCTCGGCACCCGCCGACAGCGGGTCCAGCGCGGCGGCCGCTGCCCCCCCCCCCCCCGCGAGACTGCGGCGAACACGCTCGCTCGTCCGCGCTCGCCGCGTAGGAGGTGCCCCACTGGGTGGCATGCGCAGTGGTGCTTCTGGGATGTTCGAGGGCGGACACGAAGGGCAGCCGCGGTGTTCCTTCGATCATTGCGAACATCACCTGTGGATGAGGTGTGCCGCAGTTGTTTGCCACGTGTGCGCGTTTTCGACCGGTGAATCACTGTCTGATGGCAGTCAGCCGTCTGTTGCGTGCTTTGCAGGCTGGGCTGTTCGGAGCGGGCGAGTGTATCGCGGAGAACTTCGTTGAGGAGAAAATAAACGACGCGTATCAGTGTTGGAGTGCAGTTTGCGTCATGTTGTCACAAGCTGGTCACGAATTGCCACAAAGTGGCGTCGTTGACCACGTCACACGCTGTCGGTACGGCAGGTCAGCCGGCCGAACTCCAGCACCGACGGGGCGACCCGCACGCGGCGCCTGCGTGGAATCGGTGACCTGCCGTTGCCGCTACATGCCGAGTATAACGCAATCCGCTCCTACATCTTAACGTCTTAACATGTGTCAACTGCGGACGTTGATAGACGGAGGATCATTCCGTAATGCATTTTATGACGAAACCCGTCGTGGTCGGCCGACTCATGCTCTGACTTACGTTACATGTCACGTGATAAGCCTACGTGGCGTCCCTGATATCGTTGCAGTTGCATTGCAGCTGGTCCTCACTTTCCGTACCAGAACGATCCGCCTGGTACATAGCCCTGATCTGTGACCATCCGATAAAAGCACGAGACACCACTTACTGCAATATTCATCGCACTTCCACAGGCAGCATCTCTGCGAAGCGAGAGCAGGTGCTCATAGTAATCCGCTCAGCGACTTCGCTTTTTGGCGAATGTAGAAATGCCTTATTAGGAGCCGTCTAAACACCATTAGATGTCTTCCGCACAAGCCTAATAATGCCTAAGCCATGCTGCTTTATTTACCTGAAATCGGTTCTGTCATTGCAAGTTCCTGAGCGAGAAGATCGCTTCTCCGTGGTCTTGGACGGGTGGTGGCTTTGAAGCTGCCATGTTTGCGGAATTCAGCCCCAATATCCGTTGGCTGTGAATCACGCTCGGAGTAAAAGCAAAACCGCAGATGATTCATGGATCTTATAATGAATCCATGAAGATGATATTCCATTGACATCCGGTGCGAAGACGAAGCCTTCAACGTTTTTCCTAATTACTTGCGCTAATTTAAGATTCCTCGCTTGTTATCTGACGCCATTCAATTCTAAGGAGGTAGGGCGGGCGCTTATCTCCGCTCATCAGTTTCAAGTTGGCACGAAGCCAACTGCGCGGGGGCCCTCAGGGCCGCCTGTCCAACACGGGATGGAATGCTGCCACTGAACGCCGCTTCGCTCACGGCGCCTAGACTGTGGCGGTATTGACCCACGTCGGATTGGTTGTTATGAAGACAATGCTGCTAACACTGCCAGACCAGTGGCATTGATTTCTCCACGTGGCTGCCGCTGCGGTTAGTCCTGCCGTGAGTTGTGCTCTTACGCGACACTCAACGTGGCGCCCCCAGGAAGCTGGCTAACGCTGGATGTGACCTCTCTGTGACTGGATAATGATGGGCGCATATCATTGCGCACCTCTCTCCGATAGAGACGGTGGTTATTTAGCAATGCAATATGTGTAAATGAATTGCAAAAGCATTTCCCAAGACAGAACGGCATGCAAATGCGATTTGAGATGACATTCTGCTCGTGCCCGTCCGTGCGCGTGCGTGCCCATGTGTGTATAGGGATATGATCATTGATGACTAGGTATATGTTCAGGTGCAGATGTTTGTTTATGCGTATTTTTGTTTGTTTTCCGATACACTGACGAGACGCCTGGGCGGGAGATAATTCAGTTGTGCGGTTGATTGTTCCGCATCAATTCAGGCCTGTGTGAACTTCGATTTGATGCGAGTTTTGAGTGTTTGTGTTGCACTTGACACCATCCAGAAACGATTCTTCGCCTGCCCTCCGGGGTCCAAATGGTGACCTGCCGATGGACAACAGCGTGGACTCTTCAGAAATTGGAGTTTTGAGTGACTTCTAAATTTACACCCGGAGTTTGCTGACATGAGAGCCAATTCATGCCAGCATCCACACAGGGTCGCGCAAAACATATTGACAAAGTACGTATAGCGGTTCGAGTTTATTGTCGGTAGTTTAATATTGCTGTTGTGTGTGATTTTTTGTTTGTCACATTCCGGCTGTGAAAGTCGGCATTGTGCAACAGCTTTGCAGATAAATGATGCTCATCTGACAGGCTGAATTGTTATCGTTATTGTTCATCTGACATAAGATGATATACATAATTGTATAATATATAAATGTAAATAATATAAATGCGAACAATGATAAATATGAAAATATATAAGTACAAATAATTGTTCATCTGAATTGTAAACTTCATTAGAAAAATGCACTTCGGCCACGTATAAGCCGCCGATGGTAACAATAACGATACACCAAAATGTTCCATCAAGTGGTCTAATTAGGTTTCGGCGTGCACTGGCAGTGCCTTACTGCCAGTATAGGTGGCGTTAATGTGAGCTCTGATGTTTGCATGGAGGTTTCGATTTATTTTAGCCTATTATCATGAAGGCAAAACAACCCACGATATTAACTTTCCAGCTATTAGTACGAACTATGAAAAATCGTCCTTAGATTATGAGGACGACTGACCCCCGTCGGATTGGTTGTTATGAAAACAATGCTGCTAACACTGCCAGTCCAGCGGCATCGATTTCTGCTGTCGGCTGCTACTGCGGATAGTCCTGCCGTGATTTGTGCTGTTGTGCGACACTCAACGTTGCGCCCCCAAAAAGTCGGCTAACGCTGGATCTGACCTCTCTATGACTGGATAATGATTGGGGGCCCGTGGGATTTAAATTTCCACATGGTGGAAATTTCCAGTAAAGGAGTCATTTCATTTAGGAAAGGCTGCACCAGAGGGTTGCGCTCCCGTGTCTAAAGCATGACGAATAATCCTGTGATTGGTCACAGGAAGTGGCGTCGTCTCGGCTCTAAGCCCCGCTATCTCCCGGTTACCATGGTGATCAACCCAAGGCATCTGGGTAACTTTGTTTTCGCTTGGGTGGATAATGCGCTATAAATGAACGTCGCGCGCGTAAGGGATATATGATGGATTACAAAATTGCAAATCATCTAATGGCCCAGGTGCTAATGACGGCAATAATATTTACCACCGTGCTGCCCCTGTTCACGACATTCACTTTTTATTTAGTGGGCTCATTTTGTTTCACAGGTAATCCGGGGTGGTGGCGTGATGGCGGTTTGATGAGCGTGCAGTCAGCAAATTTCATTATGTAGGCAAAACTTGGGCACGACAGGATTATGTGTGGAAGCACCGGGGTCCACCAACATCTGGCGATAGTTACTGGTCTGGAAGAGAGCCGTGCCATGGGAGAGCAGCGGTTACAAGCCTCGGAATAACGTGCGAGAATATACGCGTTTGTTCCTGTTGTCTTGGACTGCACAATTTTGCTTTCTAGCGTCCGTGTTTGTTTGCGGTCCATTATTCGCACGCCAGCAGGAACCGTCACTTTGCCGCTTTGGAGCCGTGCTAAAGGCATGTGTCATGTCTTATCAGCCAGATCAAATCGACATTAATGTCAGCTTTGCGCCGCTGCAGTTACCTTGACTTCGAATATTAATGTCAATATTAAACAGCGTGTAATTAATGAGTAAGATAAAAAGTAAGAGTGACTGCATAGTTTGACTGTCACCCTACCCACAGCAATGCCATGCATCGGCCGAAGGCATGCTGAAATCCACATGGAATAAACGCCTATGAGGTGCAAGCCGACGTGGCTGGCCGAGGAAACGTCTTTGATCCATAACAGAACGTAGCTCACCGCAGCATCTTAAAGTCCGTGTTTTTGTAATGGGTAAATGTTTACGGACATACCTATGTTTTGCATTACTCCGGCAAGCTTGCACACAGAAGGCGAGCCAGCCACATGCAATGTACATTCAGCTCGAGTTAAAAAGACGTGATGCTCAGCGTTCGGCGATGCGTCCTTGACTGGGCCTGTACAAAACCTTCCTGTACACTGGTTCCGAAGCAGTGGAGGGATACGTAAGAGAGATCCTCAGTACTGGTGACCTGATCTAAATTATTCGAGATGAACGTCACGCTACGGACCAGCCCAGGAAGGCGTGGAAGTAGCCTGAGACCAGCTATATTTCGAACCAGTGAATAAGATGCGCAAATGGCTCTATGAGCGTCGGCCGAGGTCAAGGCCACCACTGATAAGTCTTTACGGCCGCCTGAAGTGTTGTTAGTAGACATGTCAGTGTTCTGCTGTCCACGTCTCAGGCGACGGTCTAGAATGCAAGGTTCTCGAAGGTCAAAGTGATGGAAGGTCATGGATATAGCTCGATTACCCCACATTTTTTCCTTGAGAGTAAATGGTTGCGGTCTTTAATTCCGGCTGGCCTCACTCCGCAGACATGTGAGGGCAAAAATGTGTGGAGACGGTAATCGCGTGGTTAACCTAGCTTCACACGACTCGGCGGCAGGCTGCCTGCAAGACATGCCGCACATTAACCAGGTAGAAGTCAGAAATGAGCCCTACACACACACGAATTCAGTTACAGAATGTTAACATCTTACTAACTGGACAGAGTTGAACAACTCGGACGCGTTCTGGAAGTACGCGGTGTGATACAAAAAAAAAATGGATATCTTTCCCGTGTGCATATTCATCTAAGCACCAACCAAAAGGTATTCAGGCTTTGGTTCAAGTCGTTCCGTTTCGGAAGTGGCCGAACTTGCTGTAAATGCTCTCTTCTAGCCACAGCGTTAGAACTTTTTATGGCGATGTTTGGCTTCCTC